TAATATAATTGTGCAGATAGGTGGGTGAAGCTTTGGAACAAAGTTTCAGAAAAACAAATGTGATAAAGAGGAATAGGGACAGTGAGTACTCAGTCTTTTCCACTGCAGGAAATCCAATATTATCATGGTTTAGGCAGTTTGCAGTGGGCTGGTAGCCTGGTTCATGCTGCCACCCACTGCAAGATTTGACAGAAGAAGCTTTTCATTTGAGCAAGCAGAGACTGCCCTAAAATGGGATCCATTGTCTTGAAACCGTAGTGCAGCACATCCTCTGTTCTTCTAGTGGAGCTGTATGGTCGGATCATCAAGTCCCTGCTAGGCAAATGCTTGAGGGCAGGAACCTTTTCAGCTGGAACCCTGCTTTTACACAACAAAAAATCTCAGTGGGATGGCTGCAGCTCTCACTGCTGAAAGGTTTCATGCATTTTTGATGGATTTTTTTTTTGAGGCATCAGCATTAAAATCTCCATTTTGTTCCTTCAGCCTCTTGTATTGCTCTACCCATCCCATTGCTCTGCTTGCCATGGTGCATTTATGCAGGCTACAGAAAGGAGAGGTCTGGTCCCGTTGTGCTCTCCCAGCCCTTTTCACAGTTGTGTTCGGTCTGTGCAGCCACACTTGCATGACTGAGACAGCTGAGACACGTGGGTAAGGATGGAAATCAGGGAACAGCGGGAAGTGCTGATAAGATGAGCAAATTCTGAAGGATGAGGAAAGGGAGAGAAAGGCAGGAAGGAGCCATCAGCATGCAGAACTGCTGTGGAGCACCGGGAGCCTGAGATGCAGGCCCTGAGTACAGATGAAACAGCTGGCTTGAGCAGCTTGGAGCTGGCTCTGCTGTAAGAGCTCCACAAGGCATGCATAGTTAGAAATTAAAGGTGTTTGCATAGTGTTGACTCTCCCCATGCTAACGTAATGAACAATGCAAATAGAAGCGTGAGCAACAAGGAAGAGGTAGTTTAATGGCTTTGGGGATTAGCAGTGGTATTTAGAGCCTTTCACCTCTTTGTTCCTAACATAAATCTAAACACAGATTGATGATTTTAGCCATCTGGCTTGCACTTGCTTGTATGCAGTGACTAGTGAGACAGAGAAAGAACCTGACCAGCAAGGCAAAGGAAAAATATGTATATGACAGAAGGCTGCATCTCTTTCTCCTATGCCAGTCAGAGCTGGTGTGGTGCAATCATCCTGTCTGACCAAGTTCAGCAGGTAACAAGGGAGAGGGGAATGAAGAGGTAACTGACGTCTCTTGATACATGAATGTACCATGAAGCCTGTAATTTATACAAATGTATACGTACCAAGCAAATTGCACTCAAATGCAAAGCTCTCTGATCTTTTGAGATATAGTTAACCCATGTAATGTGAGAGTTAGAGGGCCAGTTTCAATCACAGGTTGATTCTGAATTGTAAATTATTTTATATGTGACTGGAAACTGTTCTCCCATATATCACCTACCTAATACCTTGTTTTAAGAACCATAGCTGAACTAGTAGCTGGAAAACTTCGTGCCTTTAAATGTATGAAGCATTTTGGATTAGATATGTCCCTTGTCTCCTAGGTCGTCTAAATACTGACATGAGTTTTCTTGGTGATGGGCTGACCCATGCAGAGAGTCGGTGCCAGTTTTTCTCTTGCTTCAGGAAGAGATCTTGCAAGCTCTTTTTTATTTTTTTATTCCCTAGGAAAATCTTCTTGGTAGAGTTCCCCAAAATCTAGGGTTTTAATGGGTGAAACCATGTGAAAGGCCACTGTTATGCTCTGCCAAACATAAGAGTAACCAAGAATGACCACATGCATGCGAGACCAAGTGCAGCAATCCCAGGTAATGCATGGGGCAGAGTGGCTGGAAGACTGTGTAGAGGAAATAGATCTGAGTACTGGTCACAGAATCACAGAATCGCTAAGGTTGGAAAAGACCTATAAGATCATCCAGTCCAACCATCCACCTATCACCAATGGTTCTTGCTAAACCATATCCCTCAACACAACATACAAACGTTTCTTCTGGTTGACGCTCAGAAGGCCAGTGGCATCCTGGCTTGTATCAGACATAGTTGCCAGCATGAGCACGATCATCCTCCTGTACTCAGCACTGGTGAGGCTGCACCTTGAGTACTGAGTCCAGTTTTGGGCCCCTCACTGCAAGAAAGACACTGAGGGCCTGCAGCGTGTCCAGAGAAGGGAAGGAGAGCTGTGAGAGATCTGGAGCACAAGTGTGATGGGGAGCAGCTGAAGGAACCGGGGATGGTCAGTCTGGAGAAGAGGCAGCTCAGGGGAGACCTTACTGTTCTCTACAATGGCCTGAAGGGAGTTGTGGTGAGGGAGATGGGGGTTGGCATCTTTGTCCCACGTAACTAGCAGTAAGACGAGAGGAAGTGGCCTTGAGTTGCTCCAGGAGAGATTCAGGTTGGATGTTAGGAAATACTTCTTGGAGAGAATGGTCATGTGCTGGAATGGGCTGCCCAGGGAGGTGGGGGAGTCACTGCCCCTACAGATGTACAAGAAATGTTTAGATGTTGTAGTGAAGGACGTGGTTTAGTGGGAAATATTGGTGATAGGTGGACAGTTGGACTGAATGATCTTAGAGGTCTTTTCCAACCTTGATGATTCTGTGCACACACTACAGCATGTTCTCCTTTTCAGTTAATGCTTTTAAGAGTAAGAGAAGAGTTACAGCAAGCTCACATCTGGGCTTTCAAATGTGAGCTTGGGCAAGAAATTCGGCCACATTTCTTCCAGGCAATGATTACTGGCGTCAGAGACTGATTCTTGGGCTCTTCTGTGATTTTACTCCATTTTGTTTTGGGACTGACAGACTGGTTTGCTTCGGTTTGAAATATGCATCACTTTAGAAAGTTTCTTCTACAAGGGGTAAAAATGTGCATAGGGAGCAAGAAAAATAAACCTTAGTATTACAGATCTAATTTATAGCAATCTTGGCACTCATTTAGTCCTCTATTCATATGTATAATAGCTTTGGTTTAAAAAAAAAAAAAAAAAAAAAAACTTTGATATGCTTTTATTTCTTTATAACCCAGTAACTGCCTGCAATAACATACTGTTGGGAGAAAAGCGAAAGATTCTTGGATAAAGATTCCTAAAATAATGTTTTTCATCCAAAATAATTGGTTTTGGCATAGAGTTCTGACAACTAAATGTGGTGTTTATCACTTTAGCTAGCCACACCAAGGTCAGTGAAAGAGATCGCTTTATATACGACAGAGAAGCACTTCCACCAGATGCATTAATATTTTAAGAATAAGAATTATAGACGCATGAAGTGACTGGGGAGTGCTGCGTGCCAAAAGGAAACTCAGATTCAGATACAGGTTGGAGTAGAATTTTCAAAGGCACCACAGTGACCTGGAGGTCATGTCACAATATGAGCAGGAGCCCACCTCCCATTTTTGGAAGTGATGTCAAGACTGCACTGCCTTTCAGCAAGAATTAGGTTCCGTTTCCCAGGAAAAAAAAAAGAAAACCAAAAACCAGCACTTAGTTCACAATTAGTTCACAAAAGCAGTCTTTGACTTTTTGTAATAATATTGCATAATGATTACTACTTAATAACGCCAAATTTCTTGTCTGTGTCCATTATCACCAACTTAGAAGCTATTTCTGTTGCTCTGGGAATTTCATATTCCAAGTCACTTAGAGAACTATAACTCAGACCTTCCACAGAAGAACGGGTGATATATGTGTGTTAGGATGTTACATTACACTGATTTAGTGTCGTGTCTTAGATTAATTTGAAATTTTATCCTGCTGGCTTCATTATAAACATTTCCATGGGAAGAATATGTTATTGGGAATGGATTAATGAATAAGCTCTGTATTAACCAAATACTTTCTGAGCGGTTTGTTGAAAAATGTTTCAGAATCCTGGCTCTGTTCAAGTGAATGGCAGGAATTCCCATTGGCTTCCTTCAACAAAATTTCTCTCTCCTTGATCTCAAAGACCACTTGTCAGAGCCCCTTACAGTTTCTGTGTACAAATAGGGGTCATTGTGCCTTACTCCAAAGCAATTGTTTTTAGAGGAAGGAGGAAGGAGGTGAAGTATGTGGTGACTTCGTTCAGACCTGATTCTTTGTGCCAGATTGAAGTGTGCTCAAGAAAAACATAACTTGTTGTCCTTTAGTGTCTTCTGAAAATCCTGCCATGCATGCAGAGCAACTGTAGCTGCTACAGAGGATGGTGAAGGATGGATGTAGATCCATATATCGTAGATTTATAAGCCCCCATGAAAAGCATCATGCTCATGATTTTATTTTTTTTTTAATGTTTTGATTTAAACAGAACTGCCAGTGCAGGCCTGTATTATTTACAAATTGTTCTGTTCTGCTTGTACTTAAAGTGTTTCAAGCTCCAAATTTTGATGAAAGCAGATCTTCAGTCCTCATGGCATGTGTTACAGCATTTGAATCTCAGTGGAGCTTGTGGTGTAAAGATCCGATTCTGTGAATTAGGACCTAAATAATACTGCTAATTTCCATTGCCACTGATCACAGTACTGCAGAACTCCTTGGGGTTCAAATGGCGTAATAACATACAGGCCTTTGAAAGATGCTATGCTTTAGACAGAAATTGTAGGCTTGCAGAATTTGCGTTTCAGAGGGTATATATACAGTCCATAGACTGAGGAGCTTAGTTGAGAAACCTCTGTAGTCACTGAACTCTCCATTAGATGTTTAAGGCTCTGGAATGTTGTTTTACTCAGATGTTAACTAAGGCAAATCTTTTTTTTATTCACTCCCACTACTCTTCCCCAAAAAGGTCTCATGGTATGAAACTGCTTCGTTACCAAAATGTAACTTTTTACAAAAGGAACCTACTTTCTTCATAGCAACAAAAACTTACTTTTTTCTGATCTACCTCCAGATCTCCCTGCAAAATGTGAAATGGGAGAAGGCAAGCTAAGATATGGACAGTTTGAATAACGGAATACTTTATTTTGGATGTTTCCTGATTTTTATTTTTATTTTTTTTTAACAGATGACAATGAAGAGACTGAAATAAGTGAAGAGACAGGTGAGTAAATGATATTTTATGCTAAAACATGTAATTTTGAGAAGGATGAACCAAACTGGAAGGGTTCTTAAAACATAGCCTTGGTTGTGATGTGCAGTGCCAGTCGTTTATTGCTAATGTTACAGCAGTCATCTTTGGTTTTTAACAGCATAGGGAAGATGATCCCTGATAGTATGTAATGCATATTAAGAATGGCTGAAACTAACTTTTTAGTATCTTCTTTTATGAGCTTTTTTTGTCAGTATCTTGTTTGAACATGAATGGGAAATAATTAGAATTCTACAGTCTGTTCGTAAAAAGGTGTGGATACAGCAATTCTTGAGTCGTTTGCAATTGTGATTAGTAGCTGTGATTTGTTTGCAATGACAACAGTAGCAAAACTCTCCAGCAAACTCTGGAATAAATGGAATGTGATTGGACAGTATTTCAAAGAACTCATTTCCATGGAGTCCACTAATTGACTATTGGAGTACTCATCTTGCTACCACTTGCCAGTTACACATCAGCCAATTTTCAGCTCATCTAATGGTGCAGTTGTTCAGCCAATGCTTTTTAGCATCTCTGAATGCTGCAGGATGTGGTATAAAAAGCTGTACGAAAGTGTATTGTATACACTGTTCTCCTCCTGTTCCACCAGGACGTGCTACGTGTTTTTTCCATGGACTGAAGTCAAAATGACTGCCTGTATTTCCCTTCATCCTTTTCCATGTCTCTCTTGCAGTGTTAGCCTTTTACCAGCAGTCAGGGACTCTTTTTTTTTCTTAATAGGTGATAAAAATGCAGTGCTAAAATCACATCAACCAGCTCCTCCAGCACATTCAGGTGAATCCCATTTCACCTAATTAGCACACCTAGTTCCTCGAAGCTATTGTTAGCCTACTGCCTTTCTGCTGCTCCTATTCTTCCTACACTCCATTTGTATGTGTGGGACCTGGGAATGGGCTCTGCTCATAAGATGAGCACCTCTAACTTTCATTTTGTCTATTACTAGGTTGCCTCTTCCATTCACCAGCTGAGAAATACTTTGTCTGAACTAGCTTTTGCTCTTGGCACGTTTGTAAGATCCCTTTATGTTATTTCCTATGTTCCTACCTAGTTTAACTGCTACTGGTATGCAAATTCAGCCTTCCTGATTCCATCCCTGGGTACTTTTCTACACTCCTTTTGTTGCATGTCACTCATGATGACTTTGTGTTGTAGTTCCTTGACCCTAGATCATAGAATATCTCAGGTTGGAAAGAACCCACCAAAGATTACTCAGTCCAACTCCTGACTCCACACAGAACCACTCAAACTTCAAACCTGAGAGCGTCGTCCAAATGATTCTTATGCAAGTGAGCCTTCTGCTGACATCCCATCTTTCAGCACAAGATGGGTTGTTCCTCACTCATCAATTCCTGGAAATCCTTCTTTGTGCCATCTCCTTGGGCCGTTCTGTTTAGTGAGCAGAAAGGTCCTTACTCTGCTCCTTATCTTCCCCTGAAATCAGTCATCTGATGTTTCTCAAAGCCTGACTTTTCTTCTCTGGCCATGTTTGCTACTGATTCTCCCGTGTTTGAGAGAGTAAATCAAGCGGGGTACCATCTGTGACAGTGCATGGATGTGTACTACCTCTCAGGTCGCTGTGACCCTGATCCCATCACAGCCCAGTGAGTATGATGTGTTGGAACTTCTAGTTATTTGCTTTGTCAAAGGATATGAGATCAGGAGGGAGAAGCACTTGGAAAAAGGCAGAGATATGCCAGCCAGAAAACAGAGGTAAAAGCTCTTGAAGCAGTGTGTTGGCTGCTTAAACTGGCAAGATTGTCTTGAAGACAAATGGATTATGATGATTTATGCAACAAGTTAATTAGCTTAGAAATTATAAATTCTTTAATAACAGTGGATATGCATAAATGTGCAAACATGGATATACACAGATAGCTATGTGTTACTGTGATGGATTAACACATTCTTTTATGGCTTTCTGGACTGTTGGTTTTATTACATATAATTGTAATTACTTTTTGGTGTCAAGATTACTGGATAGGAACTTTCAGAGATTTTAATACAATTAGTGTGATTAATATAGTTGTACATATATACATAAAAGTAGGAAAATGAAGATTGTCATTATACAGCAAACATTTGCCAAAGATTACCCTCAGTTGAATTTTCAGTATTCATCTAACATTTCCAATTTCATTTTTTACAGTAATCATGGCATGTATGTTTTTACAAGACAATTATTTTGCATTTTTTCTCTTGTTGCTTTCATGGAGATTATGCAAATTACATCATTTTTTTTTTAAAGCATTTAAAATTACAATTAAAAGGAAATATATTTCCACACAACAGCCATTCTTTTCTTTTTTGCAGAATAAATAAATAAATCTTATCCTTCATGAATTTAGGTGAAGCTGCATAGCTGCTCTGGGAAATAATCACTGAATTAAGTCGTTTGAAGAAGATATTTCCCTACATACCTGCTTTCTTGTGCCTGTAAGACAGATGAGATCATAGTTGATCTCACAGGCTTGTTTGTAGGGTACGCTGAACATCAACAACATGTACTTAGTTATTCTGTTCTGCTTTCAAGGTATTTTGGGAATCAGTACACTGACAGTCATGAGTCAGTACCTACAGTGACCAAAGACAGATGTGTTTTGTATAGCTAATCCAGAAGTGGTTGGGAGTTGTGTCGTTTTGACCTGTTTGTGTCCGGTTGTGGTTTAACCTAACGGGGGGCTGAACACCACACAGCCTTTTGCTCACTCTTACCTCTCAGTGGGATGGAGGAGAGAATCAGGGAAAATAATAATAAAAGTGGTAGAACTCATAGATTGAGAGAGAAACAATTCACTAAAAAAGGAAGAGTGAAATAACAGTAATGATAATTTAAAATACACATATATCTTTACAAAACAAATGAAGCACAAAACAATTGCTCACCACCCACTGATGCCCAGCCAGTTCCTGAGTAACAACAGCCCCCCTGGCCAACTTCCCTCAGTTCTACAGCTTTTTCATATGATGCTGTATGGTATGGGATATCCCTTTGGCCTGGTTTTGTCCTCTCTCAGTTCCTCGTGCCCCTGCAACTTCCCTCACTGGCAGGATATCATGAGAAGCTGAGGAAGTGAAATGTCCTTGGCTCTGTATAGCACTGCTAGGCAACAACTTACACAGGTGTGTTATCAACGTTGTTTTTCTCCTAAAGCCAAAACATAGCATCATGTCTGACATGATGAATAAAATCAACTCTGTTCCAGCTGAAGCCACGACTGGGTATGAACTTTTTAATGATTGTAGATGCATTTGCAGAAGTTGTAAATGTATATTTAATTTCTGCACTGAGGGGAGTTTTGATTTTTTTATATTCAGATAGCTTAAAGTTTGAAAGAGTTCAACTTTTCCCAGATCTGAGGGAAAAATTGAGTATCAACATCTACTTGCCACTTCAAGTTGTTAATGGAATAATCACTCTTCATTCCACTTGACTTCATGGGCCATGACTCCAGCAGATGGAATCAGCAGTTGGCACATATATTGATGATCCTGTTTTGTTGAGCTGACCATATCCTGTCTGCTTTGGGGTTATTTCTCCAGTTCTTGTGCTTAAAAAAAGCCACTTTTTTAAAAAAAGTAAAAGAACTTTTGGGTTCATGGAGAGCGCATGTTGCAAACTACATTGCGTGTAGGACCTCTGGCAGAGATTCAAATATTCTAAATTTCAGCTAAATCTCTGCGCCTACAATTCGCTGTTGGTTGTGTGCTTCTGAAGGGCCAATATCTAGCCAAAAGAAAATAAGAAGAAGCAGAGGGACTCAAATGAGACGTAGATTCATATCTGCACCAATTTCATTGTGAAGAATGTAGTAGAATACTGCAGACTTTACAGAACCAGTCCTAATTAAAACCCAGTGCAAGAGATAGAGGAAAAATCTGATTTTGGTTTGGTGTTGGCTGACGTTGGTGGGAATATGTCCAATAGATGCTGGATTACAGCTCGGGCACAACTAAAGAATTATCTGGGAGTAAGAAGTAACACATGACCTTACTTTGTGTGTACCTTGTTGAGTGATGTACGCATTATGAAAGTAATCTCTTTCTTTTGTTTCTATCACCCTGAAGTACAAATATCTCGTTATTTGTAGAAAGGCCTTTCTTCCTATGTTTTTTCTTCTAAATAAGTAGTAAAATAATATTAATTGCATGTCTGCCAGCTAATCTCTATTACTATCTATGTTAATACTGTAAAATCAAACAGACATGAGTGATCATTTTTGTGAGTCAGTCACATAACATCACTGCGTATTTTGGATACACTAAGAAAAATATTTAAAAGTAATAATAACCCAGTTTAAGTAAATATACACACTCAAGACTGCTCTTCTAATGGCATATAACTTGAAAGGTTTTAATCCATGCGTTTGTTACTCTGGATGCTGTTTCTTATTGCAGCTGCTAGCTTAACTACACCACTTAATTCAGCGAGTTTGGATATTAGTATATTTCATACAGCTTGCTGTTAGAATGGCTTGTGCCAAAAGAGCAGATTTAGTAATGCCAGGTACAGACTTATACACTCCTAGATCTCAGCTTTATGAGCAATATCCTACGTAAGCAAAGAGAAGGACCGGATGACCTAATAGCCTTGTCTTCTTTTAACTTCACTGTTTTAATGCTGCAGTCATGATGCTTAATGCTTTAAGCTCCATTAAGGGAAGATTATTCTTAACTTTAACTTCAGAAGGACTTGGCTTTTATATCCATAACTTCACATACCTACTCGTAGAAGCGTGCAAAATAAGCCCTAATACTGCCATAATTATGTGCGCAATTGCAGTGATTGCATCTGGAAATTGCAGAACCGTGTGCTATTATGAGAAGCATAGTCCAGATACACAGTAATGCTGCATTATTATGCACTGACATAAGTTAATTCTCTTACCATAAAACCAAAACAAACAAACAAAAAAAAGGCACAAAAAATCTCGCGCAGAAGTGTTTCAGTTCTG